AATAATAATAATAATTATTATTATTATTATTATTGTTGTTGTTGTTGTTGTTGTTGTTGTTGTTGTTGTTGTTGTTGTTGTTGTTGTTGTTGTTGTTGTTGTTGTTGTTGTTGTTGTTGTTGTTGTTGTTGTTGTTGTTGTTGTTGTTGTTGTTGTTGTTGTTGTTGTTGTTGTTATTATTATTATTATTGTTGTTGTTGTTGTTGTTGTTGTTGTTGCTACAATGATTTTTTTTTCCCACTAATTCATTATTTTTCTATATTAATTGTCTTTAGGATAGGATCATTTATGTGAAAACTGGATAATGCTAAATGCCAAAGACTAGAACATGTTATTGTAAACACTGTCATTTTTGTACGTTTAGAAGAAAACATACCTGTTCAGGTGTAAGATCCCTCTGTTCATTCGCTAGCATCTCATATCCAACCATGAACTTGCGGATGGTTGCGGATCGCAGTAGAGGAGGATAGTAGTGAGCATGAAGCTGCCAGTGGCTCATGTCTTCCTTTAGATGACTTCCTGTCGGGGCCCCTGGAGAGCAGACCACAATTGTGACCACACATACTGTACTACAGTTGAACGATATTAAGAGAATCATCATATCTAGATTCAATTTAATTTAAAACTTTAAAGAACATATTCCCAAACCAATTTTCTTCCATAATGTGATGCTTTTTCAAATGGAACTAGATATTAAATGAAGAAAGAAAAAAAAAACCGTAGAGTGGGATTTTATCCGTCAAGAATGGATTAGATGGTGAAAAAGGGTAGTTACACCAGAATAGAGGCAGAATTGAAAACAAGTTTGCAGTGGATTGAGGAGGATGAAAATGTAGCTCAAGGAAACAATATTAACCTCTTTCTGCTGGGAATTAAGATATAACTTGTATTTAGAAATAGAAGTTCAAGTCATCCTCAAAAGCATTGATGCTGTATGTAGCATGCTACCATATTAGTAACTTTATTTATTTACCAACCTGTAATTATATATTATTATTGCTATAATCATTAATGGGTAACACTTTATTTTAAGACCAATTCTCACTATTAACTAGTTGCTTATTAGCATGCATATTACCAGCATATTGGCTGTTTATTAGTACTTATTAAGCACATATTAATGGCTTATTCTGCATGACCATATTCTAGATCCCTTAATCCACCCAACAGCTAAACTTAACAACTACCTTACTGTTTATAAGCAGCAAATTAGGAGTTTGTTGAGGGAAAACTTTTAGTTAATAATGAATATGTGTTCCCTATTCTAAAGTGTTACCCATTTAGGTTAGGGAGAGTTACCCCAAAAAATGAAAAATCATAATTAGCTCACTGCCATGTCATTTAAAACCTGTATTTTCTGCATTAAACAAAGAAAAAGAAAAGAAAAGAAAAAAAGAAAAGAAAAGAAAAGAAAAGAAAAGAAAAGAAAAGAAAAGAAAAGAAAAGAAAAGAAAAGAAAAGAAAAGAAAAGAAAAGAAAAGAAAAGAAAAGAAAAGAAAAGAAAAGAAAAGAAAAGAAAAGAAAAAAGAAAAGAAAAAAAAATCTGTCTCTGTGTGTTTTCGTCAATAATATTAAAGTCAATGGGGTTCAAAATAACAGTGGAGCCGACTGACTTTCATTGTATGTATAAAAACAGTTTATTTATTTTTTTAAACTATGTAAAAATGTCTGAATTACAAAGGATTATTTACAATAAAGAAAAGAAAAGAAAAGAAAAGAAAAGAAAAGAAAAAAGAAAAGAAAAGAAAAAAAAATCTGTCTCTGTGTGTTTTCGTCAATAATATTAAAGTCAATGGGGTTCAAAATAACAGTGGAGCCGACTGACTTTCATTGTATGTATAAAAACAGTTTATTTATTTTTTTAAACTATGTAAAAATGTCTGAATTACAAAGGATTATTTACAATAATAGTCTAAAACAATGGCTTAGATAACTGCCATTTTAGAGGTGGACCGAGTTTATAAAGACAAACGTTCAATTTCTGGAATAAGGCTGCGTGACGAATCATGCAAAATAAGGCCAAGAACATTTATTAAGAAAGTAATAGGTTCGAGTTTAATTTCACATTGACTTCAAGAATGATGTCAAGACCTCTACTGACTGATCTTTGTGAAGAAACGAAAGTTCAGTCATTCCCATTAAGACGTTAAGACGCAGCACGCGATGGCTCATTAAGTTTACTACGTGTTTCATTTTCAGCAACAGATCAGGCAGAGCAAAAAAATGCTTGCTATCCCGATGGAGGACATTCTCAAAACCCCTCAAAAAAGTCAAAAATGACTGGGTGCACGATTCGGCCCGATCAAATTGACTTGGCATCCATCTGTCTTACAAGCGAAAGAAGTGTCTGCGGCTACATCAAAGCTGAATATGCTGGACAGAGCAAACCGCAGCACTGGGCCTCAGCTAAAACCTTCATTAAAAACCCAGCCAACGTACAGTAACAGAGCCTGTGAACGTTTGGATGCCAGTGGCACGCGAGACATCTCTTGTAAGCTTTCATGGTGCATATTAAGTTATAAAATGGCTGTGAGAACCAGCGGTTTGGCTGTCCGCCCAGTCCCAGATCCCCCGCTCTTATCCCCATTGTAATGAATGAAAAGCGTATCATGCCAGTTAAATCAGATTCATCCTGACTGCTCCAGTGAAACGGCTGTTCATTTCCTTTGCTGACATTTTCTCCACTGCCTCATGCTGGCTGGATGTTACTGGGTTTGGATCAGGTCTCGCTTCCCAGCACTCACATGCTCACACGTCTCTTTCTGGCCCATTTTGGGTTTCTCCTCGATTTTGTTGACTTTCCTGGTTTACATTTGGCTCTCAGCTCTCAGGGGTTAGTTACTTCAATGCAGTGCGAAGGTATGTAGTGATCGCTGGCTAACAGCCATTTTTGTCCCGTGCCAGTGAAAATAATGTAAGGCTCAGATTCTCCAAATCTGTACTTATTGTAAACAGTCTGAACATGTAAAAACACTTGGCACAATGGCCAACAATATCAAGTTCGGTGATCTGAGCTCAATAAGACATTCCACGTCTATTTAACAATTACAGAGATGTCATCATTTCTAATAAAATTGTGAATGTTACATGGAATCTGCTTTGAACAAGACCTTCCTATAACAATATTAAAGGTGTTGTATGTAATTTTTTTGACTGTACTAAAGCATAAAAACACCATAATACATTTGCAGATATTTAGGAAACATGCTAAGTTCACATACTTGTTTCCTGAAAAACAACGCTAAAGCCAGTTATTCTACTTTGAAAATGTGCATTCTGTGTCGGAATGTCTGTTTTTGTTTTGGACTGTGTGATTCCGCCCACGTACAGTTTACCCAATAGTATTTCAACACCCCGGGTTGCCAGTTTGCAGAAAACACAGCATACTGCAGCCATGGTAGTGAGCAAACAAACTGGGTCAAAAGTTGCGGACTCTACCCAACCTAAAAAGCCTCGGCATCCATCTAAAAAGCTCAATGACCACAGGAATATTAAAACGCGGATAACTTTTACAGTGTAAGGTTTGTCGTCCTTCCATTGTCAGTTGTGCTGGTTTGTGTTGTGTGTCCTCAATCTGACAACCCGCGTGGGTATTGAGTCTGCGGAGGAGGGGGCGGGAGAAACAATATTTTCAATTTAGACTGCAGTACCCATTTCAACCACTAGTCATTATTACATACTGCACCTTTAAAATGCATGAATAATGCTGAATGTTAATAAACCATCCAACTGAAGGCTATGCGCTCAGGACAAGAAGTCTAATCCAATATCAATAAAAATTAATTAAAAGATACTGCAGAAAGATATGGCATGGAGTGGGAAACTGATCACATTGTTAGTATAAATTTTTTAATAAAGCAATAAAGTCATAATAATAATAAACACTAAATACTGTATAAATAATAGGGAAGACCAGGGTTAAATGTCACAGTGCTTACTCTTATATTTATTTATTTAAAAGCTACTGAACATTAATACCATTATTGACCAGAAAAATGCGGTTTAAGTAACTGACCCTGCAAATGGGGCATGTTGTCACACTATATGGGGTAAGGGGGTAAAAAGGTCAGCAATAAAACAATTATCGGCATATACGACAGCGTGTTCCAGTTCCTGCCAATATCCAGCAACTTCGCACAGCCATTGAAGAGGAGTGGACCAACATTCCACAGGCCACAATCAACAACCTGATCAACTCTATGCGAAGGAGATGTGCTGCACTGCGTGAGGCAAATGGTGGTCACACCAGATACTGACTGGTTTTCGGACCTCCCAATACAGTAAAACTGCACATTTCAGAGTGGCCTTTTATTGTGGCCAGCCTAAGACACACCTGTGCAATAATCATGCTGTCTAATCAGCATCTTGATATGCCACACATCTTGACCTGTGAGGTGGATGGATTATCTCAATGAATTCAATAAACGCTATATTTGTTTAAGTGAGAAAATAGAATGCTAGGTCTAAATGGATATTGTCAAGACATTTGATGTTTAACCCTACTTTGGATGTAGGCCTTTTGTGTACATAGAAAAAGTCTTAGATCTTTGAGTTCAGCTCATGAAAAATGGGGGCAAAAACAAAAGTGTTGCGTTTATAATTTTGTTCAGTGTATATATTGACCTCGTAATTTTTAAAATTATTGTTATTTTAATGTCTTAATTACTTTTGATATCTACACAGTACCTAATTTATGTATTATAGTATATGGGATTTATAGAATAACATACATGGCAACCTCATCTGACTTTTATGAAAAATAACCTTGTCCTCAGAACATAGTTCAAAATTTTGTTTAAAATCTCTCTCTCTATGAGATACCTGCCTGAATATATCCCAGTGTAGCTTTATTGTGTTTACAGCTATTAAAAATATATATGATGATACTGACATTTTTGTTTTCAGGTGAAAAGCCACACAAAAAATTTCCCTATCTGAACTCAGAGTCTGAAACAACATACAATACCACTGCTAGAGAAAACGTACGTTTGTGCAGTTGGATGTTTGACTCAACATATTAGTTACTAAAATATTAATTACTGACTTGTAGATCCTTCTAGCAACTTCCCTAAACTAGCCCTGTTTTTTTTCTACAATTCTTCTTTCTACAATTTAAAAGAAACACACACACACACACACACACACAAACACTACCTTCTCATAACCACCAATTAAAATCAAGGCTGAAGCACTACTAATTTGGGTTGCCTCATTAGCGGTGACAATAGTGCATCAAAACAGAGAAGTCTCTGCTATCTTCTTGCAAAGAAGATCAGAAGTTTGCCCTTAATAAAAATAAGACCAGTAAATACAGTGAATCTCAATTTCAGGCGAGTCCTCACACAAATCCTCAAATACATACACTACTTTTTAGCATTTGATAGTCCCAGCACCTATTTATTAAGCTAAATAAGTAATGTTATGCCTCACAGGAAAGAAAAAAATAATAAGTTTGGAATGACATGAAGGCCAGTAAATGATTACTATGCCTCTAGATCCTGAATTTAATACATCTTCAATTGACTATTTTT